TATGAACTGAAGGGGTATTTGCTACGAATAGCAAATTTCCAAATGAAGACCATCTCTTTACAAAAGTCTGAAATCTGAAGAGATAAATGTCTGTCTTTGGAAAAAAGTCTGGAAAATCCTCTAGTAGTAGTCTATACTTCTGATAAAAGGTCAAGTCCATTCTATAACACTACAGCAGAAACTTATTTAAAATAAAAACATACATATATTTGATAGAGTACATTGCGTGCAGCTCTACAAAACAGCACAGAATAAACTCTCTTTCCAAAAGAGGTCAATATGTTTATAGTAGATGTGTCACTGTAGTTGTGATGGCCTAAGGACATAAGCAAATCAGCATTTACAAGGAGAGATCAAATCTTATTAGACCATAATATTTTAGTTACGAAAATAAAAACCACAAAAACCAGAAGAGCCTTTAGGCAGAAAAGCCTTCCTTTAAGTCTATAACAGACAATAAAAGCAACAAAGCTAAGTATCAGTTGAGAAAAATTGCTCTGAATTTAACTAAGTATTTTAATCTCTTTCACATCTGAGACTATAGGTAAGTGGTACCTGTGGAGGAAATAAAAATCTCGTTAGCAGATGGAAGAGTGGGGGAAAAAATGTCAGAGCTGCACCTCCTGTAAGAAACAGATAATTCACCTGAGGAAAGTGGATGGGTTAGCAACATGGATAGGTGAGCAGTGTGGAGGAGGAAAGAAAGTGAAATACAGTGTTTGCAAAACCAATACCTCAATTACCAAGTCCAGGACTTTTAATATCAAATAATGTTATAAATTTAATTGCCCAGATTAGACTTTCCAAGGTGTTTGCATTCCTCCTCAAGGATAATAGACACCGAGTGGCTTATTTCTTTTTGGTAATTTTTTGGTAGAAAAATCTTTTTTCCTCCTTTCTGTTGCTGCTGTATCAATTACGAAGGCAGGATTTGATCGTGTATCCAAACATATACATTTTGTCCAGTCACCCAAAAAATTGTAGCAAAATGACTAAATTTGTGGATGAGGGGGGAGCAACAGATGACATTGACTTTAGCAAGGTTTTCAACAGTCTCTCCCAAAATATTCCTGTATTTGAATTGCAAAGTTATGATCTGGATGAGTAGACTACTAGGTGGGTAGACAAGTGGTTGAACCATTGGGTTCAGAGCATAGCAGTTAATGGATCATCCTCTACCTTGAGGATGGTGATGAGGAAATATGACCAAAGTTTAACTGGAACATGTCCAGTTTCCCATCTTTATCAGACAGCCAGAGAGGGTGAGAGAGTGTGCTCCTGACAAGTGTGCAGATGACACCAAGTTGGCAAGGAGAGCACTTAGTGACATCAAGGTCAAGACTGTTATTGACAGTCCAAAGGACTGGGCTAACAGTACACTCAAAATTCAACCTGGACAAGTGGAAAGACCTGCCCCTGACAGAAGAATAAATCCCTGTACAAACACAGGCTGGAGACCAGCTAGACAGGGAACAGCTCTGTGGAAAAGGATCTCAGTGTCTTAGTAGACAGCAAACTGGACATGAGACATCCACGTACCTGAGCAGCAAAGGCCATCAACACCCTGGGCTGTACTAAGAGGAACACAACAATAAACCAAGACAAGTGATTACACCCTTCTACTCTGTGCATCTTAGCCCATATCTGGAACACTATGTCCAGTTCTGGCCCTCTCAATGCAAAAGGTATTAAAATAACCTAGAAGTTCAGCAGAGGGCTACAAACAGGGAAGCACCTCGCCTGTGAGCTTTTTGGAGAGGCATACAGTGGGACGAAAAATGACAGCAGTCATGAACTGAAGCAAGATGTTCCAACTGCCTATAGGGGAGACCTTTTTCACAAAATAAAACGAAACAGGTTGCTGAAAGAGGCTACGCAGTTTCCAGTCTTGGAGGTTTTCGAGACCAGACTGGAAAAGCCCCAAGCAATGTGGTCTGATCCCAAAGCTGATCCTGCTCTGAGCAGGCGGTTGCAATGAGACCTCTTGAGGTCCCTCCCAGCCTGATTCCATGACTGGCCATCTTTGTTTCTCTTCTCCGAACCTCTTCCAGTCCTAATACATCCTTCTTGAGATTTTGGGGCAGAGGTTGAGAGGGGAAGAAAAAACAAAATTGTGCAAAGTATTCCAAATTTTGGCAAACCACAGTGTTATAAAGGATACAGTATTTTTTTCATTCTCTATTCTCTTCCTCAGACTGGATTTGTTATTTTTGACCCCTACTGAGCATTAAAATGATGCCATCATGGAATCATCTCTGATAACCCTAAGGTTGTGCTCCTCAGCAGCAACAGCCAGTTCACAGCCCATCATTTTATGTATGAAGCAATGGCTGCTTCCTCTGTACACTCATCACTTTACAATCATGTACAGTTAATGAGCCTGGAGTTGTTCAAAGCATAATGAGGAACTGGATCCTGTAGAAACTTGATAGCAGGACCACAGGACCAGTAGAGTGCTTCAGTGAAAATTCCCACAGGAGCTACTGATAAGTTCAGAGAGATGAGAAACATCTTTTGTAACATTCACCTTTCCCTTCCAGTGAACGTGTTGTGGGTACAAAACACCATTAGTGTTGCTTTAAATTCCTTACTCTGACAACCTTCTGGGTTAGCAACCAGGTTGCACCATCCTCTTTTTTATTTTTTTTTTTCTTAAACCTGCAAAACTCATAGATTTACTGATGAGATTCTTAAAATAATGCGTTGGGTTTGTGTGTGAGGCAGGGTTTTGGTAATGCGGGGGGCTACAGCGGTGGCCCCTGTGAGAAGCTTCTCGAAGGTCCCCCGGCTCCAAGGCAGACCCATCTCTGCACCAAGGCCGAGCCAATCAGTGACGGTGGCTGCACCTCTGCAAGAACCTATTTAAGAAGGGGAACCTGGGAGGAGGAGTTGTGAGGGAAGTATCTCTGCAAACACCGAGGTCAGTGGAAGAAAGGAGGAGGAAGGAGTCCCCTGCAGCCCGTGGTGAGAGGGCAGGCCGTGCCCTGCACCCACGGAGGTCACCGGTGGAGCAGATGCCGACCTGCAGCCCGTGGAGGAGCCCACGCCGGAGCAGGCGGCAGCGCCTGAAGAGGGCCGGGACTCTGAGGGCAGCCCACGCCAGAGCGGTCTGTTGCTGGGAGGGACCCACGCCGGAGCAGTTTGTGGAGAGCTGCAGCCTGTGGGAAGGATTCACGTCGGAGAAAGTTCATGTAGGACTGTCTCCTGTGAGAGGGACCCCACGCTGGAGCAGGGGAAGAGTGTGAGGAGTCCTCCCCCTGAGGAGGAAGGAGCGGCAGGAGCAATGGGTGATGGACTGTCCGCAACCCCCATCCACTGCCCACCTGCACCTCAGGGAAGGGAGGAGGTAGAGAATTCAGGAGAAAAGATGAGCCTGGGAAGAAGAGAACGGTGTGGGGGAAGGTGTTTTTAAGATGTAGTTGTATTTCTCACTGTCCTACACTGGAAAATTAAGAGGTGCTGGTGTTCAAATTAAATTAATGGGCTTTTTTTCTTCCCCAATGAAGTCTGTCTTTTGCCTAGGACCATAATTGGTAAGTCATCGCTCCCTGCCCTTGTCTCAATCCCTGAGCCTTTTGTTCTGTTTTCTCCTCCACATCCTGAGGGGGAAAGAGTGACCAAGCAGCTGTGTGGTGCTCAGTTGCCCTCTGGGCTCAAACCACAATATATAATTTCTGATTTTGCCCTTTGTTTACAAGTTATATAAACAGATGACCTGTTCTCTTTACATGCTTCTTCAAAGCTGCCTGTAAAGAAGCTCCATGTTTGTGAGCACATCTGTTCATCTGATGAAGAATACAGGCCATCACAGGAAACACTGTTCAAAAGCTTTCGAAACGTAAGTCAATACACCCAGAAAAGCCCAGGAGTTAAAATACTGTCTCCCAAAGTTAGTCTGGAAACTGCGATACAAATTGAAAGCCAATACAAAGGAGGAGTTTGCTCCAGCTTGACCAGCATGCTTGAGAGGAACACACGGTTCTGTCCATTCCTACAGACTTAATAGCCCATGTTAGTCTTAGGGTAAAAAAAAAACAACCCCAAAATCAAACAAACAACAAAAAAAACCCTACCTCAATCTACTAGTGATATATGTATAGTACATTCATACCAGGAGTGTACACGTAGACAAAGACTAAGAGGAGAATCAAAACCATTAATAACGAACCCATAGAACTTCCCACCAAAAATCTTAATTCCACAGTGTGTACTTCACATGATACAATCAAGAGAACTATATCTGATGACCCTGAAGAACTAAATTGAAAGACAACATAACACACATAACTTTTTCTGTATTTTCCAATAAATCTGCTATTCTGTGAAATAAATGAAAAGAGAAAGCCTCCTTAAATACTATGTGTAATAGAGAATTGTTTCTGTATGTTCCCATTCATGGGCCAGCAATGGCAAAGACCACTGAAGAACAGCAAATCTTATACAACAGGCAGCAATATTATGTGCTGCATTATGCTAGGGAATAGGCTGATGCTCCCAATCTATATGTAGGACACAGTGTATGTCAATTACATTAATTTTTAAGATGTGTTAATAGATCTTCTCAGGCATTTAGTTAACACTATGCTGCAACTCTTCCGCTCACATTAAGAGATTACCAGTTACTAAAAGGATGGCTCAAATGTCACTTAAAATTCATTACGACTTTCAAAGCAGAAAGTGGTCGTGCTTACTGTGATCACTTTTGTGTCCGGAAGAATGTTGTAATATGACAATAAGAACAAAATTATCATGTTCATGTAAGTAGCTAGTGAAAGAAAAAAATAATAGCTATTATGAGCTCATTTTTATGTCCCTTTTTAAACACTTCAAACATTGCTTGTGTATCAATCTGATAAATATTTCATTCTACAAGTCTTCATAGAGTTTGACATAGGGCTCATTAAAAGCCTATTTATGTGACCACAAGATGATTAGATGAAAAACAGTTTGCAGTCAATTTTAAATAGATGCATAACAAAACAAAACTAAATGACACATACTGGAGGCCTGCCAGGACGGCCCCTTTTTCTTTTTCCTTTGACTTCTGCTTCTTCAAGCTCACTGCCAGCATCTGAATGTGCAGTAGTTTCATTTGTAGAATCCCTAGGGGGGGAAAAACACTAGATAAATTAAAATGATTTGAAATCAACAAGTAATCTATAACTGACTGATTAAATATTTAGTCCTAAGCCAGAAAAAAAAGAAAAAAAGTTAGCATTAAAAGGCTTGCCACATTTATTCTGTAAACTAAGGAACTAAGCGTTGTTAGCCCTGGCAGCCCTGGCAAAAAGCCTTACCTTTTTATGGGCTGGAATGTCATTTTATAGACTGAAAGTTATTTAAATTAACAGCTTCTTTAGAAACCATGTTACAGTTCAAAAACTGGCTATATTAAACAGCACATTCTCAACATATCCCTCCCACAATGTATTCACTGCTATCAACTTTCTTTTACTCTTAATAACTACTTCTGAGCTGTTCTCAAGGCCAAGAGAAAGCAAACTGGAGTCCAACCCAGCTATCCCATCATTAGAACAGTTACACAAGTTCCCACTCATGTTACGTTGTGATTTTAGTCACACCGGAAGACAATGGTATTGTGCAGCTGTTAATAAAGAGAGGATTAACACTGACCGTGAGGCACAAACCAGAAAACTCACTTTGATCTGAAGACATGTATGATTCTTGCAGTTAGAAAAACGTTTTCACTTGTACAATGAAAAAACCTTGACACTGCTCAATGTCTATTAGCAGAGAAGCCCACAGTATAATTTTTCAATCATTCCCGTTTTAGACTTAAGACCATACTAAGTAGAGAAAAAACATTACCCCAATTTCCACCCCACCTGCCACAAGCCAGGTGCAGAGGTATTTCTCTGCCTTTAAAACAGGCCTGGCTGCTTGAAGAAACTCAGCTTGTAAATGATCTTCTGAGGAATTAGGTTTTGCCCAAGAAGAGCCCAGAAGCAAAACCATTCCTGTTACTGAGGTGCTTTTAGTTTGCAAGACCACCAGTGCATGAGATCTCTGTAAGTAAAAGAGTAACTGTAATAATGTCCTAGATTACTCAAAGATGGGTCAAAGTGTAGCTCTCCTCAGAGATTTTTTTAAATCCAGTATCATTTCCTTGAAGTGAAAGGAGTTAAACTGCTGTAAAATTTCTGCAAGGGGAAGGTGAAAATCAGACCTATTCCATCATTTTATACAGGCTCAAACATAAAAAGTGGCATTAGCGATCTGGTTTACAGAAACTGAGAAGTTTTGACAAGTCAAGATCTACACAGATCTTCCACACTGTCTGGAGGCTTTTTTTTGCTTGTTTTATAAATCAAGAGCACTTCACAAGTTTGCTGTATCATCAAGAAAGCTATTTAGTAATACAGAAAGATACAAACATCATTGCATCAGAATCAAGAATGTTCTGATACTTCTCTTTACTGAAATTACTATATTGTTCTATGTCTGCTATAACCCAAATAATTCTGCAGAACTATGATGAATTTCTAGTACTAAGACATCATTTTCCAACTTTTTCCAATCTGCAAGCACAAGAACACCAAGGGGTCCACAGAATCCTCTACAAAAGCTAGAGTGCAATACAACATATATAAATCTCCTTTTCTCAAAGTACCTTCAACGAATTATCTCTAAATACTCTACACATCCCAAAAAAACAGGCACCTCAGATTAAAAAACAGCCTTCAATTACAGCTGAGTTCCCAAAGTATACACTTGTAAAAAATTATCTCCACAAAATACTGAAAATGCAGCTTTGTTGGGATAAAATGAAAGAGGAGTAGCTTCTCTGCTTCATAAAGCATGAAATCTCTAAAAACTCAATACTGAGCTATGGATTTGAAAAAAAAAAAAAATGTAAAAACCTAAAGCCAAAGAAAAGATACCCCACACATAATTCAAAATGATTTGGTAAAATAGGGCCACACTGGTAAAAACCAGTGCAGTGAATATAGCTGAAAACAGTGTCTGCAGATGGATGTATCCAGCCTCTACTGAAAGACCAGCCATCACACAGCAACTCAATATGACAAAAATGTTTATTGCCTCACAATGACAATTTTTTTTTTAAAATAACTTTTGAATACAGAAGTGAGGAACCCCATAAAAATATCTGCTACTTTCTTCTGCTGTAGTGAAATTAAAGCCATTCTCTCTTGCTCTCTATAGAAAAAATAAGCTTCTCCCTGGTCTACACAGATCCTTACTGGAAAAACTTTAGACATGGTGTAGTCTAAACAATACCTTCATTACTGGGGAATCACTGTAGCTTTGGTAGCTTACAAAACCAAACCCCTAATATCACCAGGATAAAGGTTTTTCTCCATTAAAACCAGATTCAGCAGTCCTCTTAAACAAATGGCTCAAACACTTTCCTTAAAACACTAGAGCTATATAAATGAGTTAAACTGTACTACTATGTTGCATGCCTCTTCTCCACAGAAAACTTGACTTGGCCACAGCCTCTGTCCAGGTCCGGCCAAACCTACCAAGATTTGTGTATATAGTTCTGGAAATTTCAACTGCTTCAGAACACTGCATATGGAAGAAACAGTTTAATTATTAATCATCTTCCCTTCTTTGAAAGAGACTGTTGTCTTAACCATGCTTCTGATAACCATGTTCCTCTAATACTTTTCTGGTAGTACTTCTCTGGTTTGCTGGAAGACTTTCGGGAAAGGTTCAACAAATCAGTACTAAGGGTGCAATTCAACTAATCTAAATTTGAGACAGACAATGCAGAAAACAGAAAATCTTAAGGTACAACATATCTCATGCTAAGATCAGTGTTCAAAATTGGTCAGACAGTTTATATTTTTTTTCCTTCCATTGATGGTAAGGTGATCTAGACAAGTAGCTCAAATATAAAAGTTTAAAACTAAACAAGATGAATCTCACACTAGCAATATGTGAGGCAGAAAGGAGACTTCTTTATGGCAAAGAATACAAGTATGTAAGGAGTAAGGGGAAAACATCAGAAAGTAAGTTCCCTTCAATCCTTACATTATTTGGAGTAGAGAGACAGGATCAAGGACAATCTACAGTCCTTGGCTGATTTAACATTAAAATAAACATAATTTCAAGCAGCAGGGAATTGTATCCGAATCATCAAGACCTGCACAAAAAGGCCCTTCCACTGCAGCCTTGAGTCCCTTCAGTTTGGGAGGCAGTGCTGCTTGTTTCTGTCAAAGCCTTAGAGTTGCTCTGGGAACACACACACGCTACCCCTTTTCTTCTTATTTCTGATCTCAGAGGAGGAGAGTAAAGCATCTCTCAACTGCCTGCAGTTCTGTCAGGTTTTTAACACTCATTGAGAAGAGCATCTGGCCAGCATCCATCTCCCTCATTCCCTACACATCTTGCAAAACTGCTAGGAAGTAATTTATCTGGTGGCAGTCATCCACAGCTTTACAGGCCAGAATTATCCTACCCCTATTTTACGCGTGTATGACTAGTCATCTGAGGGGAAAATCTAGGCTTAGTCACAATTTATCTTTCCTGAAACTGTTGGGAGGGAAAATAATCTGGCCCTAAGGAGACCTGCCTCATTTACAAAGAGGAGAGGCGGCAAATGCCTAAGGCTAAAACTTTTTTCTCTAGGACACCTTTGACATGATAGAGACATAAGAGAATTTGGCAGAGTGTGGGAGACCTGCAAGATTGGGGTGGGTAGAGTAAAGCAGACAAGTGATAATCCCTTTTAGGAGCTCAAATTTACTCTGCTTCTCTTTCTGGTTTCTGTGGTGGCTCAAGCATCCTAAGAAAACTGGCAGTAACTCCATGATCCCTCCCCTAAAAACTCCAGGTATATAATTCCAAAGTTACAATAATTAGCTGTTGAAACTAACCATATGGTAATGAAGAATTAACAGGTTACTGGGCAGCCCTTTACCATGTTATAGTTCCGAAGAACCTATTTACACAGACACAGTAAATTTCACATCTCTTTAAAATAAATCAAAACAAATTTACCTTCCTTCTACTGTTACATAAATCCCTAGCTATAGAGCTTGTGCCACCCTGCTTAAAAACAGACCACATCAAAAAGCTATGTTCATGTATCAGTTTTTGTAAATAAAAATGCTTCTATAAGCTTTTATTCGTGTTGCTGAGGTGGCTCAAGGTTCTGGCAGAGATAAATTCAGTAATTGCTACCACCAGACTCAGCTTGGTAAAACAAAATCATTCATGAAGAAAAATGGCTAAATGCACGGGCTCATGAATCATGGATGAATCAGCTCTCATGGTTGATCTTCAAAATCTGAAGAGGAACATGCCTCATAGCAAATATGAATCATCCCATTGAGAGAGGACTCATAACAGTCAGTCACCCAGGTCTAATACATCAGCATTTTCTTCCCTACATCTGAAACACGGCTAAGTGAGATCCTGTCTTCGCTGTGTTGTGAAGACACTCCTATGAATCCAGAAAGATTAAAGATTTCTCCTTTCATGTTCCCTCAACAGAGAAGAATTTGAGAGGGAATATTTAATAAGGTCCTAAACAAAGCACATTAATATATAAAATTGACTTTAGGACCCTTTGTTTAAAGAGGGTAGCCAAAAAGATTAGAAAAAAATAAGAAAAAGTATAAATAAAGCATAGGAGTAGTAGATTATAATAATCCTTCAAAGCTTCTTATTTAAGAGCTAGAAAGAAAGCTCTGGTGCTCTCTGTGTGGAACCAGACTGTGGCTTCCCAAATCTAAACATGTGAAGTGAATACCTCTAAACCAAAGACTGCTTCAGGTTTTCTCACCCTTAGACTCCTTTCTGATTAAAGTCTGGTTGGGACCTACTGAATGAGCGGTTATCACTTTCTTTGATACCTTGTCCACACTAGACTTAATGTTCTGAGCCCTCAAGAGAGTCTCAAAACCTTTACATGCAAATCCTGCGGATTGTTTTTTGTAATAAGAAAGATCTCCTCTTGTTTACAAGCAACCAAAACTATACATATATTACTGATGATGATATCTCACCAGCACTTTGCACAGTGGCATTGAAGGATTCCCAGCTCTACCAGAAACAATAACATACATGTTTTATTTCATTTTTTAATATTGCATAATATCGGTGGCTCACAATCATCTTCTGATTAAAGAATATGCTGACATCTTTAATGACCCTCAGGTTTCTCAGCTGGTGTGCAGAATTACCAAATCTATTAATATCCACTTTTTAACCTTAAACCCTACAATATTTCATTCACTTCTTAAAGCCATCTAGCTTCTTGAACTGGGAACAGGAATATCCCTTTCCTACTGTTTCTGTGACAGAATCTCCCAGCGTTTTGTCCCTGGCACATTTCAAAAGCACATTCTCACTTCTTGAATGTGGCACATCCAGGAAAATATGAAGCAAGAAAGATTTTTTTCCACAACTACCCTCAAAGCTGGCCAGAACCCCCGCAGGGCTGACACTCCCCACGCAGTGGTACCCATCAGGGTCATTCCTGTCTTTATGCATGTGCTCACCCACAGCAGACATTAACTTTTTTTGAAAGAGGTTTTTAAAAATGTAAGAAAAACTTGCAATGCAGAGCATGGTATTATTAAGGTCAGACAAATAACTCTATGATTCCCTAAGCATTCAGTTTCTTAAACAAAGACACTTGAAATCTTAGTTTTGGAACACCACTCAACCTTGATAAACTGAGGCTCTTTTACACCCTGTTGTAGTTCCTCTTTTCCTATGTTTATTCCAAGCAAAAAAAACTTAACATCAGACAATTACTGAACGTATTTGGTTTACGTGGCACGGTGGTGGCAGCGGGGTGGCCGGAGGGGGGGCTCTCTGAGGAGAAGCCAAGCGCTTCCTGGGGGGTGAGGGACCGGCCCTGGGGGAGCAGGAGGAGGCCGAGGGTGCTGGTGGTGCCCGGACACAGGCACCCCGCGGGCCCGGCGCTGGAGCAGGCATCCCCACCACAGCCCTCGGAGGGCCCCGCGCCTGGGCTGCGAGTCCGGGCGTCAGCAAAGAAGGGGTGACGTGGAACCAGGGGGACAAGGAACACGTTTTAACTCTGGTCTTTGTTTCTCGCCATCATCCGAATTTTTTTAACTGGCAATAAATTCCTTTTTTCCAAGCTGAGTCTGTTTCGCCTGTGAGGGCAATTGATAAGTGATCTCCCTTTCTTTATCTTGCCCCACAAGCTTTTTCATCTTCTTTTCTCCCCTCGTCCTGTTGAGGAAGGGAGTGACAGGGCGGCTGGGTGGGTGTCTGACAGCTGGCCAAGGTCAACCCACCACATCAAATAAAGCTCCACTTTATTCCTCTTTCTAAAATTCCTTTCTTAACTCTACTTGATTTACTCTCTAGCTCTCCCATTATAGACTTCCACTCTATTTCCAACATGTTCACTTTATCCAGGTACAGTGATGTTCTCACTTGTATAAGCCACTCCTATTTCCCAGCAAGACCAAAACATGCTAATGCCACTTGCTGTCTTCAATTGCAGAAGCCAAAGGCTTTTTGCACAATAAATACAGCTAGTTGTAAGAAAGAGTATGGAACTGGAATATACAAATACTGTCAATTATGACTAAAACCCATACACATTTCTGAAATCTCACAACATTTAGAAGCATAAAAGTGCAAAGATCTTGTGTTTTACTTTTCACAGTGAAGTCAGATCTCCATAACATAAAAGATACTTTTTTATATGTAAGTGTTTTATTTTCTTACACAGTTTTTCAGCATATAACAACACAGGAGGCCTGGAACAGTCACACTAATCTGCACTTCTCTCTAGCTTGTGCTTTGTCCTCACAATCACCCCTCTGTTTACTTCCAGCTTTTTAAAACTGAAGATTTAAAATATATAGAGAAATGTATACTCACTGTAGTACTGGCAGATCTGAAGTAATCATTTTTGCAGCACTCTTGAAAGTAAGAGCTACATAGAAATTCTTCTCAAAGTTATTATAAGTCAGCTACTTGGAAACCTCTTTCATGAAAAGAATGTCAAAGTCCAGTCTGTAAAAGAGAGAAAAAAAGTTGTTAGATGTGATTCCAAAATAGTCATACATTGAATAAAAAGCACACTGTAAACAAAAATGGTCCATTTTGAAGTAGCATCACTATTAGACCATGTGAAATTTAGAATGGATGTTCCCAGGACAGATTCATCATATTCTGGCATTCAGTTTTTACAATTTGGTTTAGGCAATATCACGGGAGGTTTTTTTGTTGTAATTTTTGTGTTTGTTTGGGGTTTTTTGTTTTGTTTTTTTTCTTTTTTAATTAAACAAACTATTGTGCATTACCTCCCGTATTTATTTATGGTAACTCTACTGTAAAAACACAAGTAGATCTCTGAGAAAATTTAAACAAACAAGATGAATATGTAAGCAGAGAATGCAATGATCTAGATTTAAGGAATTTATTTTCTAGTCATACAATAGACTAAACTTGCAAGACAAAAGTTTGGTTTGACAAGAAACAGTCTTTCCTACTTTTGAATCAAGACAAAAGTTCTGCACCTAAAAATCAAACAGGTTTTGATACAACAGGTAAAAGATAATATTCTTGACAGCATTCCCTTGAATGGAACTACACCTCCTCAGACTCACTGGCTCACAGTTTTATGTCACTGAATTTCACAGAGTAATCAGAAGCTGTGTAAATGTCTAACTGTAATAGAAAATATTATAACCTGATGAAACCAAAGTTGTAAGTTTAAACAATAAGCTAGACCGCATCTGTGGTACCACTACACCCACTAGTAACATCTCTCTACTCAAAAGGCTAATCAAGGAGCTGACTAATGGCAGCAGACATGATTTTACCATTAAGTCACAGCACAATGTGACAGATGCCATAATCTTTGATGTAATAAAACACAGACCTGCCAACTTGTTCTTCCAGAAAATGCAAGTTCTGGAGAAACTAAAATGACTTGCTTCATTCTTCCCTTTTACAGATCCTGGGGTAACATAAATAGCTGAATGGAGCACTGCAGTTGAGCAATGGCAATGAATTCCACTTAGGAATTCAGGACTTAACCAATGTTTTACAAACATGCAGTTATTTTAAACCTTTTTTATTTAAATATTTAATTTTTTCTCAGTGGGCAGGTTTTTTTCTGTGCTCTAGTAGTTTTGTGCAAGACAGCAGAAAAATCAAGCCAGGAAGAAGTAACGTGGCCTATACCAAACACAGTATTTAAATAAAACTGCACCAGTCTAAGCAAAACACTACAACATGCAAAGTATTATTTTCCATCCTACTATACACACATCAGTATTTACCAAAACCATAACTGTACAGCACGAACAGACTTATTTTGCCTCTGGTTATTACAGTTTCAATTAGACTCACATTGCATGCAATTGGTTCTCCTAGTATGTACTACTTCATACTACCAACAGTTTTACTTACATTGTCTCATCAACAAATTGAAATTTTACACTATATACTCCCATCTCATTGGCCATTTTTTCTACTGTATCATTAGCAAGCCACTTTGTTGAAAAACAAAGGTTAACAAAAGAGAAGTTTGGAATTAAAGGCACCACTCCAGCATTAATGGTTTAAAGGGGGTCATTTCCCACAGCCAGTACACCAGGTTGATGTAAAAGCTCTCCAGTTTCACTGTAAGACACAAGGTAGCCTGAGCTCTTCCGAACAAAAATGTTACATGACTCTCTTTGTGCTATTTCCCTAACTTGTTTCCGTAACAGTGTTTCTTCATTGGAACTGGTCATTAATTTGTTTTAGAGGATACTATTACTCTTGACAGGGGAATGACATGCCCATTTAACAACATAAAGCAAACGTTTCAGATACTTGTAAGAATTTATTGTAAACAAACACAGCATCAGACTGAATTAAATTTTGGGTTGATTTCCTATATGGAGAAAAATGGGGAATGTTCAGATCTCTGAAACAGAGAGGTTCACTACAATCGGAACAATGTGCACTCTGGTGGTCACAGTATACTAATATTTAGGTATAATGTAAGAATACTATTTAATGAAATCCTGAAATAGAAGAAGAAAGCTTTTGATTAAGCTTCCGCAAATATTTTTTCCTCCTGCCATGACAATTAGATGCACACATTTTTGTAAAAACAGATGAAAATTTTTGTATTTTTTTTGTACACAACAAGCACTGACACACACTCTTGCGTATGCTAACTAGACCTTGAAGGAAACCTATTCATCTTGGATCATCAGATTATTTAATCCTAGCAGGATACTGGGCATCAACCTTACTTTTCAGAAGAGCTTTCAAAAGAACTTCAAGAAAAATTTACGTGCGTTTTATGTGAGATTTTCCACAGATGTTTAAGTCATCCAGCACAACTTATGTGGAATTTTTTTATTTTCTTTTTTAACCTAGTTATCATCTGTCACCACTATTGTGCTGTACATGCTCAGATATAGCAACCAGCAGCATATAACTCCACTAGGGAGCTGCTTTCTTTCACACACAAGTAAAAGTATACTTGCTCAGAGGTAACTTATTTGAAAAACAAAGTCCTGGCCTAAAAGAAAGTACGGAATGAAGGGTATTAAGAGCCAGAAGGAGAAGAGAGGAGCTGTTTCAATCAGAAGTGGCTGAAGAACCAAGAAAGCTGGACCCACCACCTCGACACAGTGGTAATGGCAGACAACCTGACACAGAGGAAACTGCAAGGTCCTGTGGTATTTTCTCATCATCCCTGTGCTAAACAGGAAACTGCAGAACAGCACTGGAAAAAACCCACCTGTATGTGCTTCAGTCCAGACTGGACCATCGAGAAGACGACAAAGTCAAAGACGATGACACCTCCCCCTTACACAACCCAAGTCAGCCGTGTCCCTCATGTGTCCTCTACAGTCCTGCTGGCTACCACGTTCTGGGTGATAACTCTTTCCTCCTCAACCCAGACACACAGCTGAAGTCAGGAAACCTGTAACAGCCTTGGGATAACTTCCTGGCAGCTTTCCTCAACAGTAACATTCTTCTACGCTCACAGAGACACTACCACTTGCTTCCAAAATTCGGTCTTAAATTATATCACTCATGTTGCTTAGGCTTGGTTTGGAAATAAAATACGGCACTATAATGACTAATGAAAAGCTGTATATGCTTGGGACGGTATTCTTAATTTAGCTGTGCAATGAAATTATGGTTAACAACTGTGGAAAAAACATTGATCCTTATAGACTACACAAATGTGAACCTTCACAGTTTTTCTGGTTTTAATAAAATAAATACCTGTTTCTTAAAGATGTTGTTCTTATAAACAGGAAAATCAAACTCTCCTCCTTTCTGTCTCATTCAGCCTGAGGATAAAGCCATTGATAAAAAATCCTGAAAGCTGTAGACAGATTTCCATTTTGTCACCTTTATCCTGGGGAAGAGAAGAGCAGGGGGAGGAACACTTCATACTTCTGCAGTTTGGGTTATTTAAACTATAATAAACACAATATACTTGAACAAGTCCTTTAACTTGCAGTCAATTGTTTCTATTTTAGGAGTTAAAAAAAAAAACAAACCCTCATGTTTTCCCTCAGTCCCAATTTTAATGACCTTAGCACGTTTGCAGCTTTTTAAACCTGCACATCTATACTTTAAGATAACATAAATTTATGCTGGCATAGTTAGAAACGACCTAAAGAAGAATATAAAGCAGGCAGTAGAAGACACCATTCAGTTAAAACATACAATGGGAAAATGAGTAAATGTTTTTCTTTTTTGTTTCTGCTTTTTAACCATGCACAATAACAAAAGACTTTTCTAGTGACTTGTCACTTTTATGATGGTTTTTCTTCAGTAAGTATCTCAATGAGCTTAGCTTTAAGAAAGACTCTACCATTTTACAATTAATCCGATATATGAAACATCAATACGAAACATTAACATTTTCTGTAGTTTCTACTAACACGGAAAGCTACCTATGTTTTTTTGCAGTGTTTCGATTATTTGCCTCTCTGATGCTGACACAATCTACGTATTTCAGCCAAACAGCAAATGAAAAGATTGACCCAAAACCTGAAACCTGAATGAGTCGTTCCAAGCAACTATCTGGTAGCAACAACCAAATCAAGTTCAGCTAACCTTTTATAATAAGAGGTTCCTACTCCTTATAAAGCTGAAACCAAAGCTTAAAACAAACAAAAAAAGCCAACTACTAAATTTTGCACTAAGAGTTACATTATTATTAACTGCATTGTCTAGAAGATATCCAAAATAAAAAAATAACTGGTATTTGACCGACTCCCATTGAAAACCCTCCCCTTGTCGACCAAGTGACTTTGTCCCATCTGAGTGCAAAACGTATTCAAACAATGGAACATACTGATGAAGCAATATCTTCTGCTACTTAACTGGTAATGTCCGTATGCCATAACTTCATTTTCCATTTAAAATGACTTTGCTTTCTCCCTTGGTGCTCCCTGCTACATATTTCCTTGCAGGTTGAAAAACGATAAAGCAGTACACTTCATCCCATTAAGGCCCAAAGGAAATTTGAGAACTCTAAACGTACTGCTTGTGTAGTCAAGAAGCCATGCCATTACAGAGCACCATAAAACAAGACATGTAAAACTCAAGTTTTTCGTACTCAGTTGAGAGACAGTATTTGTCCCAATATTCTCGCCCAACAACCACATCTGACAGAGACTAAACAGCCCGCACCAGCAGCACACGGCAATCCTGCTAGAAGGCAGCACGCTGCACACGGAGGCAGCGCTCCAAAAGCTTCAATCAACTAGATGAGAGAGAAAAGAGGATCTCACATGCAGGCAGATAAATTCTAGCCTTTTACTGCTTTACTCGACACCATGCATGGCCTTCAGCACACCACCTAAATCCTTCCTGCTCAGCTATCCCATCTGCAAAATGAAAATATTTAGAAAGTACAAATTCTAAATCCTGCAGAACTAGAAAAACAGTCACCAGGAACTAACCCTATAGCAAATTTAACAAATGCTGTGATGTGTTCTTCATCACTCAGGAGTTTTTGTTTGCTTTGGATTACATATTTCTATAAGCATAAGCTTTATTTCCAACACAGGTCTGGAACTTGAAACAAATTAATTCATGTTCACTCTACAGCCACTTGAACTGAAAGCCAAATTAAATCACCTCTTCCAGCTCTGATTTTGAAAATACATAGCATCATATAAGGCCAAACAAGACATAATGCTTATTTAGACTATCTTTAAGATAATTTAATTGAAGTTCTACACAAAATCTAAATTTCACATTATCATAAGTATTTAAACCAAGTTTGAAAGTCCAAGCGATAGAAATATTTACACTAAGCCACAGCAAGTTCCTTCAATACTTAAAGTACCTAGCAAGCTTTGCCAATAGGTGGTCTGCAATATTCTTAATCCAGTCCAATCGTGATAAGGAGGAATTAATATTAAGAACAACTAGGCTAGCACTGCATGGCAATGCTTTGTTTCCTACATCCTTCAAAATCATACTGGACATATTATTATTATTCCACATCCCTCTCCCAAATGTGTGCGTCTGCTGTTGCTGTTCTCCATTTAATACACAGTAGGGCCTGCAGTTCCCAACCTGCAAAGGCACATCAGCAACAAAAGCAAAAAACTGGGAGAATTGGTCGATACACCGGATGCTCGTGCTGCTGCCCCGAGGGCCCTGGGCAGGCTGAGCGGTGGACACACAGGAATTGCGTGAAGTTCAGTAAAGCGAACCACACAGTCCAGCACCTGGGGAGGAACAGCCCCACGTACGGGTTTGGGACCAACCGTCTGGAAAGCAGCTTTTCCAAGAGAGACCTGGTAGGCAACAACTGGAACGCGAGCCAGCAAGGCACCCTGACTGCGAAGGCCAACAGCATCTCCCGGGCTGCGTTAGGCAGAGCACTGCCAGCACGCCGAGGGAGGTGGCCCTTCCCCGCTGCTCAGGGCTGAGGAGGCTTATTGGGAGCACTGTGTCCAGTGCTGGGCTCCCCAGTACAAGAGAGACACGGACACACCTTATTTTGCAATAAAGGGACAATTCTGAACAGCATGGCATACACTTTGGCTAGGGGTCTCGCAGAAGGATGGAGTTATCAGAACAGCGAGCTGAGGATGGACAGTTGGTTTTTTTCCCCTCAGAAAATGTCAATAAGGAATTAATACGTAAAACAAAAAAAGGGAAGCGAGCTCAGGGATAATGTGTGTAATACAAGAAAAACGTAAAGCCAAGAACAACAAAGTGAGACTGTATACAAAATGAAAGCATTTAGTAGATGTCCATTAGCATTGACTAAAGTTTCTTTTTTTTTCCCCCTTTCTTTTAAAGGTATTTCCAGATGGGTTACATATACATGTGGGAACAATAATTATCTCATGCCAACCCCTAGCTGCCCATTTAACCTTGCCTTCCATTTCACTTGTCTCCTCAGTTGCACTCTACAGTTGCACCAACACTTAGAACTGACTCTACAGGCGAAACAGCTGTTGCTGTTTCCTCTCACCAGATGCTTTTAGCCTAGAAAGGTCCTGCCCACTCAGCCAGAAAAATAATCTGAAGTCTCACTTTCTAGTGTGCAATATTATTCTGTGCTCTTCAGTATTACAAATGCAAGACCTCACACTGAAAGGTTACGCAAATCACTTCCTGCAGAGCTGGGAATAGAATCCTTAAATGACAAGAAACTCCAAGTCATACCGCCACATTTCTATCTCTAAAAATGTGTGAGCTGCCAAAACCAATCAGTTTTTCTGTATCTTCTGCTACTGCATCCGGGAGGTAGCAGCTAATTCCAGTACTGTGCTTCTCTGTGTCAGGCACTGACACTAAGTTTACATGGGAAAGCTGATACAATCTTTTTACAAGGGTTATAATAGCGTAGTTGATCCAAATGTCACACATCAGACAATTTTGTTTGATCATCTTCAGTGTTTACTTCAATAGTTTTTAACCATATTATCATGTACTGCTTTCTTATAATGCCTAGGATGGCTAAAACTAAACATATTAATCAAATGCTTTATGCAAACGATTGCCTGTAGATATGGCTTGCTCAAGAACAGAAATTTCATCCTTTTTAATCTGTAATTATTAATTTTTAAAATAAATTTGATGGACTGAGCGTATGAAAACAAGCTTGCTTTCCCTTTGTTATTCTTATAGACTGTTCAGACATAACTGCTCCTCACTCTGCGGACACCCAGCGAGACACTTGACCTGATTTTCTGCAGCACTGAACATTTACAACTGTGACTGAGATCACTTGGGGCTATGGGCACTCCATCACTGGTAAGGTAAATAATTATGGTCTGATTGCACAAGACTAAGAGTTAAGGCACTGAGTTCCAATGCTAGTCCAGTATCTGGATCATTAAGGTCTAAATTAACAATTTGCTCCTTGCCATCTGCCAATTAGGGTAACAACAGCTACCTAGCATCCTCCTACCCACACGCTTGGAACATAAAACACACCTAACAAAAACGGCTCTAGAAAGTTAGGTCCTCAAATTGTGAGCATGAATAGATGGATCCTTGGAGTCTTACACTTCTCTGCACTTGTATTTCCGAGACTCAGAAGGCATCTTCAGAAGATAAACTCACTCATGTTTTTAAGATGATGCAAGAGTACTGAGAGTCACAAAAAAGCCCAAGGGACAAATTTAAAGTCAAGTGGGATTTTGCCTATCATAGAAACTGTGGAGTCATCCTCCAAGCAAAAGACTCAGCAACCAGTGAAGGCTTCCAAAAGACTGAATAATGATTTTGATAGCATAACTGTTCACCACACCTTAGCATAAAGTTTTGAAAGATAGTTATCAAGACAATTAAACGCTTCCCCCCAAAAAGGACCATCTGGTTCAGCTGATTTCTTAGTAAGCCAATTCAGCTCACTAAAATGGCATAAAACTTTTCAAGGCTTTGCACAGTTAATTTTAGTGGACCAAGCCAGGGTGTTCCAGGAGACTCGGAAAACCCAGTGTGCAGGAAAGCAAGCAGAGAGTACAGCTGGACATAGACAGGACCGAAGGAGGATGACTTACTTCTCAATATATATGAACTGCTGCAAAGACAATGGAGGGAGAATAAACTCTTTTTCTCAGTGATAACAGGACAAGAAATGTGTTTGAACTGCAGCAAGAAAAAAATCGGGTAAGACTGAGGAAAAACCTGGTAAGAACTAGCGAAGCATCCAATAGTTTGCTCAAATGTGAATTATTCACCACTGAAGATTTTTTCTTCTCTCAAATAGATGGGTCACACTTGTCAGGTGCAACAAACATGGCAAAGTTTGTACTGGAAGTGTATTCCTAGGAGACTGAAACAGCTGGGGAAAAAAAAGACACAGCTTTGGGCCTGAAACCATGGCATAACTGTAACTGTGCCTGCAGGAGGGGAAAGGGTGAGAAATAGATG